TGCACTTTCGCCCAGACCTGTGCGCCCAGTGTTCAATGGCCCAGGTCTTGTTAGCTAAAACGCAGCCCTCGGCCCCCACACCACAAGCAGAGGAAGATTCTACTTCCATCTCAGATGAGGCCAACGGCGGGGCACCTGCCTCCCGACCTACCAACCCCCCTCCCTATGCTCCTCCTACCACTCCTCCCTCAGCCACTCCTCTTACCGCTCCCATTTCCGCCCACACTTGCTCCAAGACCACAGTAGCGGCCCCCACTAGTCAGCCCTCTACCAGTCAGCCCGCCCCAACCCCCTCTACCAGTCAGCCTGCCTCACCCACCTCTACCGGTCAGCTGGTCTCAACCTACCCGACTGGTCAGTCTGTTTCAACCTCCCCTGTTAGTTTGTTGGCCCCCCTCCGAGAGGTTGCCGGAGCCGAAGGACTAGTTAGAGTCCATGTCCCTTTTTCCTTGGCAGACCTTTCCAAGATTGAAAAATGGCTCGGCAATTTCTCTGCTAACCCCACCCTATATTCCAAGGAGTTTCAATACCTATGTCAGGCATATGATCTAACCTGGCATGACTTACAGGTCATTTTGTCCTCCTCCCTTAACCCAGAGGAAAGAGAGCGTATTCTTGCAGCCGCCAGGCAACATGCAGATCAATGGCATTTAACTGACGCCACCGTCCCGTTAGGAGAGATGGCTGTCCCGTCCATAGAACCAGATTGGGACTACCAACCACAGCAGCCCGGCCGCCATAGGAGAGACATTATGGTTCAATGTCTCTTGGCCGGTATGCAGTCAGCCTCTAACAAAGTGGTCAATTTTGATAAACTAAAGGAAATCACCCAGCACCCAGATGAGAACCCGGCTTCCTTCCTAAATCGCCTTACAGAGGCACTAGCCCAATTTACTAGGCTAGACCCCACCTCCCCAGCTGGAGCAGCTGTCCTAGCCTCCTATTTTATCTCCCAGTCAGCCTCAGATATTCGAAAAAAGCTAAAAAAGGTTGAAGATGGGCCTCAAACCCCCATACAGGACTTAGTAAAATTGGTCTTTAAAGTTTTTAACTCCAGAGAAGAAGCAGCTGAGGCCGCAGAGCTAGACAAGGAGAAAAGAAGGACTGTGCTTCAGGTGCAAGCTCTAGTGGCTGCCCTCCAACCAGCGTTGCCCACTCTGCCGGCAGGGAAGACACAGGGCAAGTCTCCCAAGGGCTCCTGCTATAAATGCGGAGACCCAGGACACTGGGCAAACCAGTGTCCCCAGGCCAAGCTGGCCACTCCGTCTGGCCCATGCTTTAAGTGTGGCACAACTGGGCATTAGGAAAAAAGGTGTCCAAATCCTCACCTGCCTACCACGCCGTGCCCAACCTGCCAACAGGAAGAACACTGGAAGTCTGATTGCCCCACCAGCAGGGCAGGCATTGGGCCTCAATGTGGTGCCTCTCCTCAAGGGTCGGAAGGCTCCTTCCAGCTCCTACACCTGGACGACGACTGACGGTGCCCACACTCAGAGACCCCTGTCACCCTCACCGAGCCTAGGGTAACTCTACAGGTAACGGGTAAGCCAATTTCTTTTCTTGTCAATACAGAGGCTACCTATTCTGTTTTACAATTATATTCTGTTTTGCCAACCTATGGAGGTCCTAGCCAGCCATCCACTATCTCAGTAGTTGGGGTAGATGGTAAACCGTCTAACCCTCACCAGACCCCAATGTTAAGTTACTGCCCAGACTATGCATGCTTTGCCCACTCTTTCCTCATCATGCCCTCTTGTCCCACCCCCCTCTTGGGACAAGACATCTTAACCTAACTCAAAACATCTATTCTCCTTCCCTTTCTCCAGGTGACCAGATTCTACTCAAGGATCAGCACCCTCCTCAAATTTTCCCGCTTCCTCACCATTCTTCATCTTAACTTAACTGACCTTTCCCTCATAAACCCCATAGACAACCTCCTTCCCGACCCATCCCCCAACCAGTGAGTTTCCCAACTTTTTGCTGTCATAGAAGATCTAGCTTGGCAAGGTGCCCTTTGTGATTTCCTAATTCCCATACTAATCCTCTGCCTTGCCTTATATTTTGCTCCCATTTTAATAAAATTTATCCGAGCCAGGGTCCAAGAAATCACTCGAGTCACTTTCAACCAAATGCTCCTGCATCCCTACGTCCAACTGCCAACCTCAGACCCTGACTACGCCCCTTAACAGCAGGAAGCAGCCAGACTGACAACAGTGCCCTAAATTCTTATAATCAATAAGAGGTTGGACTGTTTGGGTGAGGGAGAAGTGACAAAATGGAGGAAGGTGAACAAGATGGCACAGTCCCGATTGCTTCCGGGTTCTTCATCACCAACTTCCCGTGCCGGGGAATATGCAGATCAACCGAGCATGCGCCAGGTGACATCAATCCGAAGAGATCGAAACTTACCCGGCCACACCTACGGAGATGCCCCTATCATGCCCTTATCTCGCCCACTGCCCTCCCGCTTCCAGTACCAATGCATAAAAGTCCACTGCGGGCAGGAGCCGGCGTGACTTCTTCAGCCCCCGCATTCGTGGACCGGGGAACCTCACCCGAGAGCGCCGGTGCGACTTCCCTGGACACCCCCCACACCTGAGGACCAGAGAACCTCACCCGAGAGTGTGCGCATATTTGCAATAAAAGACTGCCACTTTCTTATGTACTTTGGCCTCATGTTTAATTATTTAGCTCTCCTAAATTAAATTAAATTAAACAAAACAGGAAGGAAGGAAGGAAAGAAGGAAAGAAGGAAGGAAGGAAGGAAGGAAGGAAGGAAGGAAGGAAGGAAGGAA